ACTCTGGGTTTTAATTCAAACAAGGTTCAATTTTTTGGTTGGCCCTGTATTCTTTCAATGTATTTAAAAGCCTCTTAATTCAAACTCCATCATTCGGTTAATTCATACTTTTTGCAATTTCATACCAAAAAATGTCTGTTGCTTTCCCACTAATATTTAAAAATTTCCACTAATATTTAATAATCCCAATAGACTAAAAAATGAAAATCAAGCATTTGAGGCCTTCAAGGAAAAAGGCTTTGCTAGTAAACAAATGTTTGAAACTAAGCACACGCATGGTAAACCGCGATGCTTTTCAACTGGTATAAAGAGAGCTTTGTGCTGAAGTCACATACCTATAGCAAAGAAGCAGTTGGCAATTCACGATTTTTTTTTAAAAGGTCTGGTCAGTAGTAAATGGCCAATAACCTTGTGGACCTTACTTTTCTACTTTATGTTCATTGCGTGCAGTTAGGGTTTAAAAACACGTAAAACATTTTTAATTGTGATAAAATCGATGCCTAATCATAATGTATGGTGTCACCTTACCCAGAGTCATCTATCTGAGAGCTTCTGATAATTCAGACAAAAATCTAAGGTCCCTTCACGTTTGAATTAATGAGAGTTGACTGTATTTAAAACAACTTGAACAAACTTACCACCCCACAAATGTAATCTCACCCATCATAAACTGTGCAAGAACACTTAGCGGCTCCAAATGTTCACCACATGCATGTACTCCACAATTCTTTGAACGTATCTCGAAAATTGACTTCAAGGAAACACTGAAACGAACTCCAGTGCTGGTTGTCGTCCCGTCGACACTCTTCAACAAAGTACTCCAGCGGTGTCATAACTCGATTCTTCAATGTTGACTGACTGCACTACACGACTCACTCAGACCACTCAAATATCACAACTTCTTGGCTGACGTTCAGTGCCCGTCCTACCTTCCAACACTTCTAGTCTGGATCCTTCCCGGTTTCGTGAACATTCCAATTAATTGTACTGCACGTAGCACATACCAGAGCGGCAGCCAGAGGAAAAGGATTCGTCTCGCTGGTTCATCTGCGAATATGGTCGCCTTCAAAAGAGGCCCCGCTTCGATGTCTCGATTTCTCCTCATCTGTGCTGGTTGGCTGTCGCATGTGTTGAGGATAAGGGCGCACCCTGGGCGTTGCTTGATGCTCGTTTTCTTCTTTCGTTGCGCGCGCCTGTGAAGGGAATGCTTGGCATGGTAATTTGATGCTGTCATCTGGAGGCGGCAGCACGAGTGCGCCGTTACGAATAATACGCATCCCGATGCGCTTTTTGACACTGTAGATCACACGGAAATACGTTGTGCTTCAATGTAGCATTTTTTTTTTTTCACATTCGAGCTGCTCAGCAGCATACAACAGGTTCACAACTTCACACCACTAAAAAACCATCTGCCACACATGCTGGTACCGAAAAATTGTACTCGAGCACAGGGAATATGAGGCAAGCTACCACCCACACACGATCGCACACAAAGAAAGCATGAAAAAGCACATGGACATGCACAAATCCTTCTGCAACCACATTAACACACTAAGTGTCATCGGCTTTGATGGGTGGAGTGTCAACGCCCTCACCAAAAAAGCCGCCGAAACTGCCAACCCTGCCAAGACGCGCTTGCCCATTCACGGCGACGCAAAGCAATAGGCCGCATAGTACGCATGCTATTTAGTGAAAGTAGCTTTCGTTTGTGGGGTTTAATGTCCCAAAACCACCATATGATTATGAGAGACGCCGTAGTGGAGGGCTCCGAAAATTTCGACCACCTGGGGTTCTTTAACGTGCGCCCAAATCTGAGAACACGGGCCTACAACATCTCCGCCTCCATCGGAAATGCAGCCGCCGCAGCCGGGATTTGATCCCGCGACCTGTGGGTCAGCATCCGAGTACCTTAGCCACTAGACCACCGCGGTGGGGCTAGCGAAAGTAGCATTCATTCAAAAACAGCACTTTGTGCACGACTCGATTTTTGACAGTGATTTTTTGTGAAGGTAACTTAATGTAAACACATTCTGCATTCATGACCTTATGCTTGCAATATTGAGTAATATTGTGTTTATTTGCGTAATAGTGCATTCGCATAATAAACGCACCCCCAACCTTCAGTGGTCAAAATTTTCATTTTTTCCCCCTTGTAATAAACGCACCTAGAGCCTACACTCATTTGCTGCAGTCCCGCTAACCGACACATGGCCCCTCCTTGCCCATTGGATCTCTTCTGTTTTTTATTAAGTAATGTCTATTTTGCCAGCTGCCAGCTGAGTATATCAGTCGACCAGATGCCAACAGTTCTCTCCTATAAGAGGACGACAAGTGACGTCATCCGCTAGAGGCGCGTGGCCCGCCGCCATGGACTGTTTACACGTGTAGCTGCCGTCGGCTGTTCACACGTGTAGTTGGTAACAGCACTTCACGTGAGTGGGTTAGGTTAGGCACGACAGGCTTATGAGAAATGCGCCGGCAGACACCCTGACGTGGTTGCGTGCATATAAAAAGAGAGAAAAGAAAATGCTGGGTGCTTTTTTTTCCGCTATACTATGCTAGCTCCCGGCAGTACACGTGCAGCCGCTATTCTGCCAGCACATAAGTCACATAGTGATGAGCAACCAATAAGAAAAGCTGCCGGCAAATTTTTTTCTAGGATAATATGCCGGCACTAGAGGCAGAGCCTATTTATTATTATGTCAACCCCCTCGGCTCGCTTCCGCCTCCCCTTCGCCAGCTGCCGCGCGCCGTATTTTTTTTTCTTTCCATCTGCACGTGGCAACCATCTGCACGTGGCAAGTCCACAATCTTCTTTAAGTGTCTATGCGCCACAGTGGGGTTCATGAATGGTGCGAGTATAGAGACATCGCAGCTGATAAGCACATAGCAAGCAAAGGTAACGAAACTACCCGCGCCAACCGACGGTCGCCTTCTGCAAGTAACAAACTTAAGGCCCAACTACATGCATGCTATTCTCGAGCGACGACGACTGGATTTGCTGTCGCCATAGCGGTCGCCAAGGGCCATTTGTCGCCATCACGTCGCAGGTTTCCGGAAAACCAGAAAAAGATTGCTTGTCACCCAGAAAAGATTGTGACTCTTTCCGCAACATTGTAGCAGCCCCCCCCCCCCCCCCCTGCCGATTCTCGCTTTGGTTGCAGTTGCTATCCACGTGTACTTCAAGGAACGCTAGATATAGGTTACCTTTTCTACGGTAACTTCTTATGTGGACAGCCAGCAGGCGGCCGTATTGTTGTTAATCTTGTTATTGACCGTTTGTTTAGATGTTTTGGTGGTAGCTTGCTGCAAGGTTGGTTGGTTGATTCCACGAGAGATTGACACGGGTCCAAAAGTTGATATTTTAGATTTAACTGAGTATATTATATTTCGTGCACCTCTCTACTTGTGCACAAGTATCTACAGTGCGAATGCAAAACTGAAGTATAGTAAGTTAAAATGAATTTCACAATGTTTTTGTTGATAAAATTACGGGAGGCGTAATCTTTGTCCCTACTTTGAACCATATGATCTAAAGCATTGCCTCCGAGATGCGACGCACAACAATTCATCTGTAGAGCAGAGGACGAATGACAACTTGCCATGGCTGTCACAGCAGCTCCATCTGTGTGTCAGTAATAGAGAGGCACCACATATTAGAAGTCTCAGTGCTCTACGTATAAGAGTGAATTCAGATACTGTAGAATACCGTGTTCAAAATAGTTACTCCTATCTGCTAAAACAGCCTTTCTTCACCAAATGCGGTCACGTTTACTCGCGCTTGAAGCTTGTTGCCGCTCTTCCGTTCCAATTTCTAGATTTCTCAACTTATCAGCGCATTCTCGAAAAGGTCTGATTTGTACCACGAATATTGTCGCTAAAAACAAAATAATGCAACCTGTTTTTCTATATTACTGTATGATGGCCTTCGGTTGTCTATTTACGGGATTTTAAGAAAAATCGAAGATGGGGTTTTTTGTTATTCAAATTTCGGTGGAGTACACTTTTGTCAGTATGAGAACTTTGAGGCAATATATAAAAGTTTACATTTGCCCTACGGTAGCAATAATTTATGTACCTAATGAACACACTATATCCTTAATACGTGTCAAGTTTGAAACCGCTGCTTGCATAACTTTCGGAGAAAAAAAATGGGGAATACGTAACTTATTTTAAGCTGTCGCAATATTAGACATTTTTAAAAGCTATTTTCTTAAGGTCTACAAACTTGAAACCGTATGAATTCATTCTTCATTAGACATGCACTTCAGGTAAAAAATATCTTCCTTGAAACAATAATATTTGTCTTTTTATAGCATCTGCAATTTTCGAAAATGACAGGTGACGAAATTGGTGCCTCCGTGTTGGTGAAGTTTGATATTTTTTTTTCTCGTAAGTTATGCCGTTAATCATAAAACGAAGTTGACTTTTGGGCTACCTGGTGAGAGGTGCACGAAATATAAAATACTCAATGAAATCTAAACTATCAACTTTTGGACCCGTGTCGATCTCTCGTGGAATCACCCGGTTACTTGATACAATGTCAACTGTGTTATCGCGGTCGTCGTGCGAGGTTGCCACGAAGCTGGAAATGGCATCATAGCGCGCACTTCTGAATGCCCCTCGAGATCACAGCAGATAACACTGTCGCGGCTAAACGATTGCCAGAAAAGGTAGCCGCGAAACACTTTTATGGCGTGTGCGGGCGACGCGGGGACAGCTTGCAAAACATAGCGCCATCAACCACCGAGGATGAGAAAAGTGCAACAAAGAAGCTGTTTCCAAACAATGTTCGCGTACGTCAATTGCGAAAAGCTAAGCGACCTAACTTTTTTTGCATTACGACATTTTTCGCTCATCTGGAAAATGTTTTAATAAATGTTTGCCCTGCATAATACATGCACCCCCAACTTTGTTTCGATTTTTCGAGAAGTGCGTTCATTTTGCGAGTAAATACAGCATCAGCAATGTTGTAAAAGTAGAAAAGAATGCACCTAAAATTAGAGCTTTTCGGTGTTTATTAAGAAACAGTGTCTTGTATGTGCTGCTTTATTAATCATTCAGTATATTTTTGCAGTACACCCTAAAATTATTTTCTCCAACACTGCTAACAACCTATACAGACATGTTAGCAGCACGAGGTCAGGTGGAGAAGTCCTATGTAGCTACATCAACATGTGTTGGAGGCTTCTGTTCAGGAGAAGATGGTCAGGAGGGTGAGAGAAGGGCCTCTAGCTCAGGGTTGAGGGCCACTTCAGCAGGAGTCTGCCCATCCATATCTTTAGTGTCTTTTTCGGCACCTCGTTTGAGCAGCAGTTCAGCTACTTGCAAATGTCCGCATGAGGATGCTGTAAAAGAATCCCTTTGCATCAAAAATGTTCACAATACGGTGAAAATGTTCACTATAACATACTGTCCTGACCAAGTCATCCACATACCGTATTTACTCGCGTAATCTTCGCACTCGCATAATTCTCGCACCCCCCACATCACCCAACAAAAATATGATTTCTTTTTTTTCCTGAAGTAAATATCACACCCCCGAAAACTGCTGCAATAATGTCGTCTGCTCATTCCAGCCACTGACGATAATAGCTTGTGTCATCTGGCACCATCTCTTAAGCATCAAGCATACTATTGCTGCACAGAGATTCAATCCAATTCAAGCCAAAGTGGCAAGTGCGCGTTACGGCGTGTTTTGTATGTTGTGTCGGTAATCTTGTCGCATTATGGGGCGATACTGAAGCTACACCGCTGCTTTCAAGTTGAAAGTGATAGATAATGCACTAAACAACGGCAACAGGGTGGCTGGTAGGCCCTTTGGAGTTTACGAGTTTTCTGTTCGCTACTCGTGACAGCAGCTAAATAAAAGCCACCAAGACGTGTTGGGCCTGCCGTGTGCTTAAAACTGGGATTGATGGTAAACTTTATTACTTCAGAAGGAAACTGCAGACTATTCTGTTAAATAGCCATCAGCCTAATACTGCTGTCCTATGCTTACATTTTGAGGGCTTCTGTTGAGTGACGAATGCTTCCGCTACGCCCGCAACACCCACAAGCCTTGCGTATGGTATTCTAATTCTCGACTATTTGCTTGCACTTTTCGTGTCTCAAATAAATCTTGCCTTGTGTTGAACATGTGCTTTTATTGTTGAGGTAAGTTTTTATCAGTACTTCTCAAAGCTTGCTGTTAGTCACTGGTGTGAGAATCCAGATTTGCGGCTACTTCGTTTTCTTTTTCATTCTGTACGTTTTCATGTAAAGTTTTCCGCTCGTGATTCTCGCACTACCCAACTTTGCATCGTTCTTCTGACAAAAAAGGTAAATACGGTAGCTCTGTACTTTTGCAGTAGAGCCAGAGAAATAAAAACATGAGATGTGCTTGAATAGAGTACAAACGCAATCTTTTGAATATTAGCTAATACTAACAGTTTCTAAAAAATAAACTAATAGCTTTCTTAATCATTCATGCTAAATATAACAATTTAGAACATTGTTTTTTATCTACAGAATTGGATAGGATACATGTGACCATCTTATGAATCAGAATGAGAAAATTTATGATCCAACTTCTAGCATAATTTACAAAACTTGCAAAAATAATTTTTGTATTTTTTCCCCCATTTTTGTACACTGAACCATCTAACAGTGATGCTAGTCCCGTAGGCTGCTTTGAAGCAGCTTTTGGAGCAGTAAAACTGGCTTTCGAAGCAGGTATTGCTAGAAGCATATTTAAAAAACGTACTGCATTCCTGACAGATGACCAATAAAAGCACAATGTGCAGCACGTTATTCAGGCATAACACAAATATAGACGAATATAAAATTGTAGATAACACCCGCGGCTAACGTGACAGTCTTTAGCAGGAAAAGGCAATGGTGAAATATAAAACCATATATCTTCATTATAAAATGACTGAAGATCACATGATCATTACAGATGAGTTTGTCTATACTTGTACAATTAAAAATCACAGAAACCTTATGATTGCACCTCTGTCAAGAAAAGGTGTTTCTTCAATATAAGAAAATGCATCTGGCTTGTTGAGCTCGTCTACCACATGCTTTTTAAAATACTGCCCATGACCATAAGAAACTGTTCAGGGTATTTTAAATCTTTTGCATGAAAACTGCTTAGCCGTTTCAGAGTCTGAACATTTTTGAATATGGGACAGTTGCTGTATCAGTCCAAGAGGAAGGAATGCCCTGAAAGGTTCCAAGGACAAAAGTACTATGTGTTACATTTGCTACACGATCACTTAAGAATTCTAAAGTTAGCTGAGTTGTGTTTGGTCGCTGCAGCAAGTGTCTTGGTAACGTCTTAAAGCCACGTCAGTGTTCAACTAACAACACACATGCTGGCCATTTAAATATTCACAAATACTGTTTTTCAGCCACCACAATTTTTCAGACATGGATAAAAATTCAGATGCTTTCATGGCACTGTCACAAGCTAATGTGTAATAACATCTAAAATTTCAGACAGCAAAAAGCTTCAGTGTTCAATTTTTGAACTTCCTGTCCACATGTATGAAACAGCATCAATTACAGCCCCCCGCCTCACCTACATCTACTATTTCGTAAGCTTGAATCAGCGCTTTCGCAAGATGATGTGTTTGCTGTTATAGCAATGTCTCAAAGTCAGCTGGCCTGCAATGCTTAGGTAGTGTGGGATGAAACAGACCAAAAATCCGAAGGGGCCACTATCGCGGCGTGGTGGTGCCTTCACGGGTAAGCACCTGAAATGCGCGCAGGTGTGATAGCACCAAGTGGCGAATGCACCAGTGTGGCTTAATCACTGAAAACCCTTTATGACAAGCACTTTGAGCGAAGTGCTCAGTAGAGCATGTGGCCTAGTGCAGTTGTGAGCAAACTGCATACTTTTAGTAGGTGACAACCCAAACGTGCCATGCCACCGTTCCTGCGGACTCTGTGCAAGACTGCCAAGTATGCCGCAGAGACTCATTGCCTCACGAACTAAAGAAACTGGCCATCGCTGCACATGAGTGTGGTCAGGAACGAAGTGGACATTAACAATACAGTCATGAAAAACACGTGCGTATGGTACAGCAATGCCCTGGCATTGACGACGTCAGCTTAGTTCGCGATGTGCTGCACACAAGGAACGATCGGCATCACGCGGCAGCAAATTCTGCCTGTCGGTGCAGATTTTCGTATAGTAACACATCATTTATGTGCACGCCTGCATCGGGGAAAGCTATACGAGTCGTGCTCTCTTGTGTCACAGCCTTTGTGTTTCACGTCATTACACACAGGACAGCCATAATTAATTCTGCTCATAGTTTGTTGGTATCACCAGGGCTCATCACTAGACTCAAATCTGCATTGGGAGTTTGTGTGTAGTTAAATTGGAAGGCATTCATGAGAGCATGGGCATGCACCAAAATACCTAGCAAATGTACTGGGAGGTTAAGGGCCAATTCCGGTGATTTGACAACGATTTGACAACTTTAGCAGAATAAGAAAGCATGAATTTCATCTTTTTCGGCCTTGTATTTTTGGACAATCTTGCAGTCTCTAGCAAGTCCAAAGAATCAGGTCGTTCACAGTATTATAACAACGACATAAAGCATAGTTTGGCTGGCTTGGCTCAAATTTCGTTGTACACATGTGCACGCAATGTCACTTTCGATGGGAGAACTTGAACTAGTTAGTTTTGTTTCTGAAAGTCAGCGTACACCCTTTGGCGCAGGTTGGGTGCAGAATCGCCATATTTTGAGGAAATGTAGCAGGATGTAACAGCAAGGGCACTTGGGTGTAGTTTGGCGCAAATGCGGTAGAATCACTGCGAGCAAAGCGCTAGTTATTCGGTTAGGTGAAGCTGATAGAGTTGGCATCACATCACCTTAAGCTACACACGAGGTTCCAATGACAAACAATGGTGGATGAATGTGTGATAGTTTCGCTTGTCCCATATTGCCACAGCATGTATGGCCACAGTGAAAAAAAACTTTGTCAGGGCAGCATCAAGCGATCAAGTCATGATCGCCAGATCTCGAATTCGACTTTTTTTTTTACGTCATTAAAATGTGATTTGTTCATGCTACCATATCTAGTGAATTATCAGGTAACACTTTTAACATAAAAATGAAGTCTTAGACTATAGACTATAGTTTGCATATATAAAAGATTGAATTTCGATTCAACAGTTTTGATATAAAGCAAAAGTCCAAATTTATTGACTCTATTATAACAAAGTTTAACCATATAACCTGATAAAACCCTTAACATTAAGCAAAAAAAAGTAAAGGTTCATAGCAAGAAATGTTTTAATATACTTTATTAATAATTTTATATCATTAAGCAGTTGTAATGAAAATTGCATTTCAAAATTATTAGAATAAACTTTGTGAGAAAGAAGTAGTCTGTGTAGGGTGTTACACTAATGCATCAAGGACAGATCATTGCACAGAACATATTACTCAATTTCAGTTCTTCTGGGCATTCTAATACAAATTGCGTGTTTCTGTAAAAAGCCATAGGGCCTTTGTCGTTGCCCTCAAATTAAAAAAAAATGCAGGAGCAAGAACAGCAGCAACCGCTCAGTATTGCAGTGCATACATGCTTAAAATGTGGCACCTTCCTGTAATTTTCGTTACAATTTGCACAAGTAATAGTTTGACCGCAGAAATGGGAAATATTTAGTTCCTTCATATACACTAGATTTCACTTAAATTTATTCACTAGTTGCCTGATTAGATGGCTTTTATGTTTTTCATGTACATAGAAAAAAGAACTAGCATTGGCCTTGAGCATAATAACTATAGACACTTTTACTGAAAAACATGCACTTGTGGCATTCCTGCTGCAGGTCTACTTACCATAATGCAACGGTGTCTGGCCTTCTTCATCCTGAGAATGAGTAAAAATAAAGAGGCTAAATCAATGAAATTAACTTGTAACAGTGCATAGTTACAGCATATATGCATCTAAGACCCTGAATTTACCAAAACACCAGAAAGAGAGTTTTTATAGAGAACGATAACATAAATTCCAACATTAAAAGTCTACATGTATATTTACCATGTTGTAAAGATTCGGCACACTAGTGCACCGATTTGCCAGGGTCAAAAGGTATATTTACACAAGTTTTCTGCACATGGATAAACCTCATGAAATGGACGATGCCTCATCTTTATGCCAGAAAGATATTTCAGATAATTGGGACATGTTCTCTGGTCCTGGCAAGCATATATAAGGGGAAATATGGCTTGTGCAGTTGTTTTGCTGTATTTTATATCCAAACCTGATGAAGCTAAATAGACTTGTTTGATCTGCCATGCTAATTGCAAAAATGCAATAATTTTTCTTGAAGGCAACTAGTTTATGAGATACACATAGTTTCCTTTCTGTTGTTTCCAGAGACAGTAGGAAAGAGTGTATGCAACACAAAGTGAATATGATTAAATAGCTAGATACTGTCATATGTAATAGGTGCAACACTGCTAACAGTTTTCAAATAAAGTCACAACTACCTAGTCACTCTGGAATTGATAAAAATTAAATGTATTTACAATGACTACTACAAAGAAAAAAGCAAATTCAGATTTAAAAATCTATGAACAGAAAATGAAAATTCTGCTCTCAGCACAGTTTGGCCTTTATGTTGGAGTAATAACATCTCTAGCTGTTTTAATCATGAGACATAACTACATGAAACTAAGTAAGCGACCAAAAAAACGTGTCAGATTCAACTTGTACTCACTGCACAGAACTAAACTGTGGATGAAATACTAATTTTACAAGACATGACAACCTTAAGATATGTTTTAAATAAGGAAAAAATAGCTGTAGATCTCAGTAATACAGTAAAAAAAAACTTTATTTTTCTATCATGACTTCCTTGGTCTCCACAAGCCATGTCAGTCACTGACAGTCTATCATAATGGCAGACTGTCACTGATTCAGTTACATTCGACAGCAACCTTGTTATTTCGATTGATCTTAGAGTGCTGCAAATGTGTGACACAATGAAGTAAAATCCGCATTCGCAAGCAACCGAAACGGTTTTGGGCCTTCACAAAGACGTGGTCGCCACCCACAATCTTACCACAATTGCATTGTTGGTGAACAAGGTTATCGTAGCTGCAACAAACTAGTTTCGTTTTCATTTTTACTTACAGTATGCAAACTATGTGTACGCCGATAGCGACTGGGGTTAAATCTGCAACCAGCATATTAGTTTCGTTTCTGCTGCGTGCATTCAGAACTGCACCGCAAACCAGGTTTCCTCAGCAGCAGTTGCAATTCCCATCAGTTTCATTTTCACTCTGCACGTAGGCCGTGTATGTACCTTCAGAACTGCGTAAACGCTATTGTGTTGTTAGTGGCCACAGTTTTGTCCACAGTGGATGTGGCACTCAGTAGCTTTGTTTCAACTTGGGGCTATGAGCACACAACGCCATAAAACTCAGACCTAGTGGAAGCTGCTGAGGGTGAAGAGCTTCAGCCATTGTCTGCATGCTAGCATAAATCCCTCTTGCTACACTGTGATGAATAAAGAATTAGTTGCCAGACATTTTTGCGGTGAAAAAAAATTATCATGTGCACGTGGTGGTGTTCCTCTTGGCGGCACGTAATAAGGGATGGGTTAAGAACACGTTATGGCATATTACATGGGGCCTAGAGTCGTAGTCACAATGCGACCGATGCCCCGAATGATGAGAATTATGGATTTTAGACTGCTCTTATGCAAAATAATACATTTGTGTATTTATTTAGGAAATTAAAGTGCACTGGTGTAACAGCCACTTGTTTATTGTTTTTTTGATACTTTGTCATTTGGGTAATTCGGACATTTTTTTAATTCCTGCGAAATCCGAAAAAATGAGCAAGCAGCCTTTCCAGCATGTCCAGCTTATAGCAAGACTGTGGGACAACGGTCACAGTGAGTAAGTGCTCAGAGGAGAAGGTGACTGGAAGTAATCACGTGGTAACTGATTGTGGTAACATGTCCTCGTGTGCAGCTGAATTCTTGGAGGGAGATGAAGCACTTTGTGTTGGAAAGTAGCTCCAGTACAAGTATGTCTATCACGGTGCTGATGGGGATGCGACTCCCAGATGGACATAAGGAAATAGTCGTCACATGCAAGATTGGAGTAACACTGCACCTTGATTGATTGATTGATATATGGGGTTTAACGTCCCAAAACCACCATATGATTATGAGAGACACCGTAGTGGAGGGCTCCGGAAATTTCGACCACCTGGGGTTCTTTAACGTGCACCCAAATCTGAGCACACGGGCCTACACCATTTCCGCCTCCATCGGAAATGCAGCCACCGCAGCCGGTATTCGAACCCGCTACCTGCGGGTCAGCAGCCGAATACCTTAGCCACAAGACCACCGCGGTGGGGCAACACTGCACCTTGAAGCTTGCCTCTAAAGTGCAATAAAGAAAAACACTGCTGAAGGGAAGAGTCATGTTCCTAGTGCTAATGCATTGGCATCTCTTTGCACACTTACTCTGGGTGATATAGCCACCTAAGCCAACCAAAAAAAAAAAAAAAACCTTTTTGTTACCTTCATAGCATTTGAACAGCCACCAGTACCATGATTGCCTTAAGTTAATACACAGGTCATCATTAGAAATGAAAAACAAAAACAAATAAACTGGGTTTTTTCAGCCTGTGTTTCTACAAATATGCTTTGAGTAGACAAACTATGAAAGTTGATGCTGGAAAATTCAAAATTTCATAAACAAGTACATGGAGTAGATTGCCATTAATACAATTTTAACTGCTTCTGTTAGAAAATTTTAGTTGGCTAACTTCAGAGGTACCATCTAAGAAATGTTCCCTCCCACAGTATTCATAGTTTTTTCTTTTTTCAGCAGAATGCAGTTACAGCAATGTTTCCGACAACAAGAAACAAAAGCTGTGCTTTGTTTGCTAATCTGTGCTCACTTGTTATAAAAAAAAAAGAATTCACTAGCCCCGCAGCAGCGGTCTAGTGGCTAAGGTACTCAGGTGCTGACCCGCAGGTCGCGGGATCGAATCCCTGCTGCGGCGGCTGCATTTCCGATGGAGGCGGAAATGTTGTAGGCCCGTGTGCTCAGATTTGGGTGCACGTTAAAGAACCCCAGGTGGTCAAAATTTTCGAAGCCCTCCACTACGGCGTCTCTCATAATCATATGGTGGTTCTGGGACGTTAAACCCCACATATCAATCAAAAAGAATTCACTAATTAAATGTTACATTCTAGCATATATTCACTGCACACCAATACAAGCAAAGAACATTTTAGTACTCTCAGTACTTTTTTATATCTGTGCTTATTACAGTGAGGTTAAAATCTATAATGTTCATATACTACTGTACTCATTCGTACAGTACTATACGAGACTAAATTCTTGGGGTTATGGCGTGGTTTAGGTACATATACTACGATTTAAATATGCATGAAAAAAAAATCTATGAGCACTGTATTGGTCAATACTTCCTGCTATATACAGTGTTAACTACAATGCAATGAACCCTTTTCGAAATCCAGAAGCGGGCTTCCCTGTGCTGCATATACGCCCAGCAAATAACGGCACCTGTCGCACTTCAAGTGAAGACAAGGTCCTACTTTCACGAGCTTGGGCTCACCTATTATGCATTGTTATATCAAGAGAGCTGAATCTACATTTTCTGTGTCATAGCACAAGCAAACTGTGCTTTAGTACCCCGTTTACAGAAATGACTAGCTTCCAATAGTTGGGCTCAATGCATTGCAAAAAATCTAGCTTTACAATTATGAAAAGGGTTTATTTAACAAGTTCAGCTCATTCACTAAAATATCTGCAAATGTAAGATGAAAAAGAGAAGGACAAGCAACTAACCTTGGCTTCAGGATCAGCACCTTTGTCCAAAAGCAACTCGACAATCTCCAAATGGCCACGATCACATGCCCAGTGTAGCATACACATACCCTGCAAGTGACCCCTAAATTATGAATTTACTGACATCCCTCGCTTAATACATTATATACATAAATAGGCAGCTCACTCACTGTACATGCACAGTACGCACAGAATTTCAAAAGTGCCCTAATAAAAAAATCCTCTCATGAAAGCTATATTCACTACGCAAGCTATGATTATATGTCAGTGCTGGTTTCCTGCATGGCAAAAAAGCTTTATAGCTAAAGGGAGTTGCATTTAGCAAAATAACTTTGCCACCACATTGCTTCAGTAAAAGTATCAGGTAACATGTTCAGTTATATAATGTAAAAAGGGGTTTATTGGCGTGTGCTGCAACAGTGGCCCTTCGATGAAAACACGATAGGGACAGAGCAACAATCAAGCAGATGCCGGCGAAGATCAGCACGAGGCAAGCGAGAGAAGCCCAAAACCCAGTACCCAAGCAGTGGCTATGTTTCTTGCAAACGATGCGTTTTCTTCTTCACAAATGTAATATCTATAGTTATACAGTGGAACATTCTAACCTCGGATAGCTTGTACTAAGAATATGTCGAGCATTGAACTTATAAACAAATATCTCGCAAAATTTTCAGGTACAGCCCATTCGCTCCACGAAGACATCTGTAGGTGGCTAAACATATTGGACAGAGATCTGTCTGGCTAGACGAAAATTCATACATATAAAATAAACTCTCCAGCCACTTTTAGTCCAAAGTGTCTATATCTAGCATTGTTGTGCAGTACCATTTTTCCATGAAGAATATTATGAAAACCATTAAATATAACTTGACTGGTGTTTATAAAACAATAGCACAGGCTTCCTAGCTTCTCTGTTTGTTGGCAATAGTATATACTTTATGTTTCACAGTGCAAAAAAAATACTGATTAGGAAATTAGTACTGTCATAGTTACTAGATCCAAGTGATTTCAGTTTTCAGTAATAGTCCGAGAAAAGTAATTAAGCATTACAAGAAAAAGACAGTGGACTCCTCTTAAACGAAACTTGAAGGGACAAAAAACATTGTTCAATTTATCAGAAGTTTCATTTAAGCAAAGCTTACAAAATGAATGGAATATGACTTTATTTCAAAAGCAATAACTGTCGCTGACTGAAAAAAAAAAAGATTTTGAAGTATAACACTACTATAGTTGATTAGAAAGAGAAATGTTTCCAATATTGCTGACTCAGAAAAAAGGAGGTGATACGTAACAACTTGCAAGCACTTTCTCACATAGTAGGAGTGCATTGCTCAAAGTCTGGGCAGGAGCTCTGTGCCACCAACGTGTTCAAAGTAGCGCTGAAACAGGATGACAGCATCTCTTGCTGCACTGTCAGCCACTGAAATGAGCTAGGGATCACACACCATCTCATCACTACTTGAGCACAGGTCCCCATCTTGAACTTCAGCTATAGGTTCCTCAAGGCTGTCCTCACGTTCACGACAAGACGTCGATTGCTGCTAGGCGTGTGCTATAGTGAACTAGAATATGATCTAGTGGCGCGACCAGCAGGCCGCAGCTGCTGTTCGGTGGTCCAAAACAACACAGACGGCCGGTAGGATTTCTCGCGGCGCGCCTTTTCATGTCATGTGCGCGAGGCAAGCGCGCGCCGGCATAGTCTTCTCTAGCGTGGAAGTAATCAGTGCGTGTGCGTGAGTATGTGTGCGAGTTTGGCGCGTTGAGCCACCACATCCTGAAGAAACTTTGTCAATGCCTGGAAGCTCTACTGCATATGTCTACGAGCTGACAACGCTGGTTGCGTTGTGCGCTATGGTGGCACACAACGCAACCAATGCCAGCATTCGGCGGCGCTTTCACATCGGCGTGGCAGTCCATGCAGCATTACAGCGCTTCGATGAGAAACAACGAATGTTGCATTGTTCTCAGTGTGCCGTTGGGCTCTTCGGAGTTCTGATGTGTGCTGCTTGTGATTGTATGTTCGCTGGTGAGTGACCAGATTGCGAGCAGCTGCGGTGCCAAGGAAATGTTGTGTCCACATTTCTGTGGAAACCGCGAATCTGGGCCGTGAGTGTATGTACAGTTAAACCTGGGTATAACGAAATTTATAAATTCCTGAAAAAATTCGTTATAAAAAGGATTTCATTATATGCAGGTTCTGTACAAAAATTTTGAAAATAAACCCCAAAAACTTATTTTACAGTAAAAACTGTGTTATTATTGCGACAGCAATCATATGGACACTCGGCAGGTTTTTGACGTCGCCGCCATGTTCTGTAACAAGTCCAAATTGATAACATGCCCCCGCGCATTGCGTCGTAACTCTCGGGGCGGGTAAAATCGCGCGAGCATTGAAGCAGAGATCAAATGAGTCTGCCCATCCCTATCGCTTGCAAAGAGCATAAGATAACATCTCTCGCGCGTTAGAACTGCCGTCGAATGCTCAAACAGAAAGTAAAGCACCCGTCTTGAACGAACGTGAAACATTCCGGGCAGGGGGTGGGGGGATCCCTCGAGTAGCAATAATGAACTTGGACTTCAAGGGCGGTTGTGATCGCTGCCACACTTTCTATCTCGGCGAGTATCTGTGCGGTTTCAATGCGAAGGGACTGTGTGAAACGAGCACTTCTCTCTGGAGCGGCCACATTTGCTCACGCCAGCGTTTTGTAGGAGTTCCGCGATATCGGGTCCAAAAGAGTTGGCTGCCAGCCTTACTTCTAGAACATTACAATTATATTCCCTATCGTGTTCATTGCATTGCATTTAATGCACCGTAGTGTTGCCAGACTAATCCGCTGATCCCGAAAGCTACCAGCCTATGAACTCGCGCCGTGGCACTAGATGGGAAGTGCGTGACGAGTCGACCTTTAAAGGTCTGTTGTCACCGAGGTCTCGCAGAATTTCCATCAGCGCCTAATCTGACATCCCCTTGGTGGTGAGGACACGGTTGTCCGAAATTAATAAAAATGAGTTTCGCCACAAGGGCAAAGCAATGAATGCAATAGCAACAACTTGGAATGTAACACTGCGCAAGCACATCGAAACGTGCAGCATGCTGCTCACGCACAAATGACGCACGAAAACAACATACACAGGACGAGAATGGGCTGTTTAAACAAAAAAAAAAAATGAGGCACGATGTATTCACAAGTACAGATATGAGAGCGAACTAACACGTGCCCCAGTTGTTACTTCGCTGTGTTTCAAAAGCTCACTCTTTTTGCAAATGGCGCCTGTCCAGCGAGCAAAGTGTTCTTGATCTTTGTGCACCCGGCAACTAAACACAACCGTTTTGGCCAAAGTTGAAGGCGTGCGGTTCTCCCCATCGAAAGAAAAGCGCACGGAAGCAGCTTTTAACCCCCCCCCCCCCCCCCCCCCCCTCCGCGGCACAAAGTACACATGGGAGATAAGCGCACGTTGGCGCATCGTGAGGAGCTAAACGCTGAGCACGGGTGTTTTTTTTTTAAGCTTTCATAGAATAGATACGTACCATATACAGTGAATGGCGACGACCACAGCAAAAAAAAAATAAATAAATAACAGCCAAGACTGTCAATATAATTGGCAATAAAAAACAACAGCAAAGCTGAACGTCCACAGGGGCCGCACGACACGCACGCAGTGAAACTATGCACGCGCACACGACGTCGCCGAAAAGCGAACGACACAGATCGGCACAGACACGGATGCGGTGGAAAACTAATGATGTGTGGTGTTTTATGGCGCAAGGGCCAATTGATGGCCAAAGAGCGCCATTTCAATGAGTATAGAGATGTGGACAATGATATGTTGCGTGGCTGTATAGGGGCCTTAAAATTCCTCGCGATAATGCGGGTAAAAACATAAGTATTAAAGACATGACAGTGGCGTGATATGCATATTAAAAAGGGTGACAAAGGTTTTGATAATAAAAACATGTAAAAATATTTGGCACTAGCACACTTGCCTCATCAGTGCCCTTGTGTCCAAGGGCTGCGAGGCAAGTGCTTTTAAATGTAATCACAGCAGCAGCGACCTCTCTTGAGAGGTCACGCTACGCAATGCCTGGGTATATTACATGGTAAAAATTAACATCTCTTAAAAAAGCTAACAATGATTTATGGGTGAAAAGTGGTTCCCTACCGACAAACATTGCAGGGTGTAAAGGTATATGTTGTCGGTAGGGTAATGGGAAGTGTTGTTTTCTTAGAGTTTCTAACTGTTTACATTGGATTAAAACGTGAAGAACTGTTAAAGCCTCACCACATTTATCACACAATGGTGGATCACCACCGGATAAAAGATGTGTGTGTGTCGTGTATGTGTGCCCTATCCTGAGTCTTGTTAGTGTTACCTCTGTTAGACGTGATTTTGATACTGGTGGCCAATGGCCAAGGTGTGGCTTGATAACGTGTAGTTTGTTTTGTGTGTGTGTATCCCACTTGCTCTGCCAGTAGTCCCTGAGGTTTAGTTTGAGAGGCGGCTTAAGATCAAGGGCCGGGACTGATATGGATGTAATGGCGGTGCTCTCATGGACGGATGCAGCGAGCTGATCCGCCCTCACGTTGCCTTGGATCTCACGGTGCCCTGGCACCCAGCACACTACAACATGTTGTTTGTGCGTGTAGAGTGTGCACAAAAAGAAGTAAAGTGAGACAAGGACTGGGTTTTTTTGTTTTTTAAGACTGTGCAGAGCCGTTACCACACTGAGGGAGTCTGTATAAATTACTGCTTTTTGTATTTGTAATTGTTTGATGTGTTTAGCTGCCGCCAGTATCGCGTAAGCTTCCGCTGTGAAGATACTTGTGCGTGGATGTAGAGGGCCAGCATCCGAAAAGGATGGGCCGCCAGCAGCGTAGGACACAGAGGAGTTAGTCTTGGAGGCATCTGTGAAGAACTCAGGACATGTGTATTTGTGTTGAAGTTCCAGAAAGTATGTTCGGATATGGGCAATAGGTGCATGTTTTGTAACCTCTAGGAAAGACACATCGCAGTCTATAGTCTGCCACTGCCACGGTGGCGGGTATGCTACAGGAGCCATTAAACTGTGTTCAAGTGACACTTCAGTTTCT